CGCCCTGACCCAGGGCCGGAGCTGTTAATTGTGTGCTCAGCCCCTGCCCAAAGGTCTGAGCCCTAACTGCTATTAGTTTTGTAGCGGGGTGGCCTGGGTCCCAGGCGCCCCTGGAAGGGACAAGCCCCACCCCGCAGCTATTACAGAAGGGTTAACTGTTTCCTGAGCTCATCAGTGAAACATGGGCTAAAACAAGACCATTCTTAGCCTGGTTTCAGGTGAATTTGAAGCTGCTCAGAGGCACTGGGTAGACAGCCCTGGAGAAGGAGGGCTCTGTTTATCCACTAAACAGGTATGGAACAGCTGCTATGAGTCTCCCACAAACCTGACATGACATGACCGCTCTTGGGGTGAGAAGGGACATCTGTATTCAGATACCATGTCGGTCTCTTGGAATTGTGCCATAGCTTGAATTAAATAATAATTCCTAGTGCTCATATATCCCTGTTTATCAGTAGCTCTCAAAAAAATTTACAAAGAAGCTAAAAGCACCTTCTCGCTATCTTGCTGTAGCAGTGCGGACTCACCCAGTGGCGCCTCCTACTGGTTGTTTTGGGGAATCAGCTCTTCCAGAGCACCCTCTGCAGGCCAGTGATCTGCCTCTTCTGGCCCCGTGCCCTTCCCAGGACCCAGTGCCTCTATTACTGGGATGCTGCCCCCTGGCAGTACCTCATAGATCTTGGTCTGCCCTCCCTGGGGAACCCCCACCCACTATCCCCACCTCGCCTCAGTACCAGGCCACTGCCAGTCACCATCAAGCCCCCGCTCCCTAGGGCAGACTGCAGGATCAGTCACCCATCACTGGCAAGGGGGGTTTGAACCTGCTACCCCTGCCTACCCAGGGCTGTCCCTTTGCAACCCCAGTACCTAGCTGGCCTTACTCTAGGCCTGCAGCCTGGAGGGTTCCCAGGCCAGAGCTCCCCAGCTCCTTTAGCCTTCCTCCAACCCTGCTTCCCTCAGGTACCGCTCAGCTCCCGGCAGCCAGGCCCCTCTCTCTCTAAAGCAGAGAGAGAACTCTCTGGACTGCTGGCTGCCCTGGCCTTTATAGGACCAGCTGAGCTTTAACTGGGGCGTGGTCCCAGGTGAGCCTGACTTCCCACTCAGCCAGGGAGCTGCTTGCCCCCGCCACAGCCCTTTCCTGGGCTGTTTTTAGCTCCTGCAGGCATGAGCGGGGGGACTACCCTGCTACACTTGCAGATGGGGAAACTGAGGCACAGAGTGGTGTAATGACTTGCCCACGGTGACCCAGTCAGGAATAGAACTCAAGTCTCCTGGGTGCCAGCCCAGTGCTCCTTAAAGGTTCTCTATAGACCAGCTGCAGCTGGGTATTTAAATATTGGAATAATGGGCCTTAATTCTAATCGGCATTGGGTGTAACTGTAATTTGCACCCATTTCTAGGTCCTTTACATGGTGGGCCCTTAGTGTGACTGAGCATCAGACCCAGAAAATTCCAAGTTAAGATTTCCAGAGGGAACGCACTTTTCTTCCAGACCAAAGCGTTTTTAATTATTATATTTGTTATTTATCGTATTATGCCGGATGGGCCAAATCTTGCTCCCATTTACACGCTGGTGTAAATCTGGAGTAACCCTTCAAAGGAACCATTTCACGTTTACATTGGTGTAAAGGGGAGCAGAATGGGAGCCAATATTTGCAGTGTGGATTCGACATTGTTCTTGGGGACATTATCAATGAATGTCTTGTCTTTGGGTCTTGGGTCTCAGTTTCATTAATAACAAGTGTTTTCCAATCCCCATGGAAGCACGGCAGGATTCGTTAAGCATAGATTGTTTTCCCTCAGCACTATGTAAACCATCATTTCATTTTTCTCAGTTCCATGTCTTCCAACTCTCATTTAATCTTAACTAATCTGAAACTATTCTTATTAATATTCAGTTTGTGATTTTTCCGTTCAATATCCTTTAACAAAAAAAAATCATTTAGCAAGATAAACATATCATTTAAATTCATTTATTCAATGAATTCCATGGCACATTCACAGAAATATTATGGGAGAAAAATTGAATGGTCAAGTTTTCAAATTTGCTGAAATTTCTGTAAACTTTTTTTTATAAGCTCTAGTTTTAATTTAATAAACTTCTGGAATTATTATTAATTATTATTATTATTTATTTATTATAATGCAGCAGTTCCTCAGAGCTCCACTCAGGGCTCTGGTTCCAGATCAGACTTGGGGGAGAGAGACCAGGGAGCAGTAGGAGGCTCTTATATTTTTTGTGGTGCCACCACTAGGTGGGGACAAAGACCCGCACTGTGCCAGAGCAGGTTACAAGCTTTTAAAGGTGTTTTTCTGCATAGACTCAAGGGCGACTGCCGCTTGAATGGCTGATTGTGTCTGACTGTCTCCAAGCTCACCTCTCTCTCTGTCTCTGTCTCTGCCTCAGGGTCTGGGGAACGGTGGGTCTTGCTGCCAACACTATAGCAGGGGAATGGCTGCAGTCAGTGTCTCCACGTAGCAAATGATCTGCCAGGCGTTTTAGCAGCCGGGTCCCTGCTGTGATGGGAGCCTCAAAGGGCTGAGAAACGCGACTGGCATCTCAGGGTCCTGCCCCAACCTCTCCGTAGCCCTTAGGTCGGCAGGAGAGGGGAGCATGGGCCCTTCCTAGGGCTGGTAGCTGCTGGCAGTCGCTGGAACAGTATTTCTGAGTTTTTCAACATCCCCACCCGTGATAACGCCGGGGGCCAGGGCGCGCACAGGCAGAAGCAAAACTAAACAGAGGCTGAGAAGATCCTGGGCCTGATTCTCCATCGCTTTTAAGCGTGCA